AGAAATCGATGTTTTCTAAATAGACCTTTACTTAACACAAGATAAGTGACTTATCTGATTGATAGAACTATCGGTTAACACTAAAAAGCTCTATAGTTCATAATTCTTCTCACATAAAAAGACTTTCTAACTTCAACGAATATAAACCTTGCACGATAATGAATCGGACGTTTTATATGAGATTTTTCGGTGATCAATCAATCGCTCCAGTGCTCATGTGAATTTTTTTCGTGTCAAAACGTTTATATTTCGTATTTGGCATTTACATGAGTGCTCGCAAAGCATTCGTTCCATTATTAAATAGTATTACTAATCGACATAGTATGCTCATCTTTCCGTAACAATTTCAGTCATATAATTTCTTGCATGTGATGTTCTCTACCTTGAATGCCACCTAAGCAAAGCGCCCATTGTCAGGCTTTCTGTATTTAAACTTGTCTATAAGAGAGCTCATGGGGCTTCTAAAGTGTCTACGAGTTGGAAATTCACAACGTGTGATCGTTATTGATCAGTCACGATATCTCAAGGTGACGACACAAAGAACTTTCCATCCACTTGCATTGTATGAATCATAAATTGGCATATCCATAATAGTACGTTTATAGAATGCATTCAAGTAGAATGCGGTAAAACCGAAGGCTATTCTTTGTTGCTCTAGATTAATAAATATTTTCATTTTCCAAGAATGTGAAATATATCTTTATCGTTCTTCAACGTTGAGTGACGCACAATAATAAAATAAAACATGAGACAAAATATTCTTTTTATAAGAGTATTTTTCTCAGTTCGTTCCTACGATCTATCTCTAAATAGAGTTTTCATCGATAAAATAGTAATAATAATTGTATGAGGCTTCATATTTTGTAAGACTTTTATTGGTAATAAGGATAACATCATTTTATGTCAAAAAATTGCTCTGGAAGATTTTCAATGCATTCATTCAGTATTTCTTTTGCGATTTATATTGATATGCTTTTCTAACTGCAGTGCTATGAAAGCAGAATAGTCATTTATTGAAATTTATTGCTTTCAAGAGAAAAAAAGAAATATATATCCTTCAGATACTTATTAAATACGTCTCGTGACACAAAATTGAGCAAAAACAAAATTAAATATTTAAAAAAACCAATATCTATAAAAAAAAACATAGTAGCGTTTTTTGTAGCTAGTTGAAGCTTGTAACAGTTTTGACAAAGATCAGTACTGACATATAGTTCACACGATTCGAAAATGTTTCGGGCACATTTACAATTATTCAACTGACTATCAAAAATAAGTTTCTCTTTACTTTATATCTACTATGAAATTGTTAACTATGCGAGAATTTCAAGGGTGAAAACTGAAAATTTCATACTTCTTCATACTTCAGCGTAAGCCAAGCGTATGCCGAAGCTATTTGTTTAGAATCTCTTAGTTGTTTTAAGTATACTATTCAGATGTATTACGAGCATATCAGTTTGAATTCATTTTTATACAAGTCAGTCTGATGATAACGCCCAAATAATTCGTCATACTTTAAGGCTAGAGTATCAGTGGAGTAACATAAAGTATAAGCCAGCTACGTAATTGATTTCAAGTCAACTAAAATAGCCCTTCATGTCCACTTTAATACAGCGAATTTAGCACTTACTATTGAAATTTTAAACAAAGGCAGGTGAAAAAATAGCTTATAAATTTCGAACAAAAAGTCATAGGGACCTGCGATTTCAGCAATCGATAGAAAATTAGAGGGGACACATTTTTATATAAAAACCAAGGTTTAAATAATCAGTGATTGTGGAATCACTGAAAGAGTAGGCTCGTTATTTGATGAAATTTCAGCAGAATGAGCTGAAACTTTCAGCATGTATAGCCTCACTGTAGCCCAATCTTTCCTAAAAATATCATCGATGAATCTTGTAATGATGAGGAATGATGAGCCAATCATCATTTGGTCTTACATCACGCTTTCATTGACTCAATATATTAGGAAATGGTCTCAACTTTTGGCTGAATAAATACCATAATCTAGACTTCATATCTATGCAATAGCATCGTACTTTGGTCGTAGAAATGTATGGAAACAGCCAAAATTCGACGAAGAAATGATTTTCATACAGTAAGTATTTGAAAACAAATCTTCCTAAATTTCTCAAGAGAAATGCAGAACTTAGTAATATTTTCACCGTCTCTTCTCGTTCATATAATCAAATTATTATATAATTGCATAGATATGAAGTCTAGTTTATGGTATTTATTCAGCCAAAAGTTGAGGCCATTTCCTAATATATTGAATCAGTGATAGTCTTATGTAATATCAAATGATGATTGGCACACCATTCCTCATCATTACAAGATTTATCGATGATATTATTAGAAAAGATTGGGCTACAGTGAGGCTATACATGCTGAAAGTTTCAGCTCATTCTGCTGAAATTTCATTAAATAACGAGCCTACTCTTTCAGTGATTCCACAATCAATGATTATTTAAACCTTGGTTTTTATATAAAAATGTGTCCCCTCTAATTTTCAATCGATTGCTGAAAATCGCAGGTTCCTATGACTTTTCGTTCGAAATTTATAAGCTATTTTTCCACTGGCCTTCTTTTAAAATTTCGATAGTAGTACACAATACAAACTGGTTTTACAGAAAATAGGATTTTTTTCGCTGTATTCATATTTAACATGAAACATTTTGCCTTTAGTATCAGACTTTTTTAAATGCTGTACATTTCATTTTTCAAAAGTACGAAATTCAAACGTAGCATTTTTGAAACTGTTTGCCACTGGTTGATGTCTTCGAAAGAGATTCAAAATCTGAATTGTAAAAACTTTTGATTGATATTCTCATCATAGCACCTAAGGTATTTATGATGGGAACTTACACATATAATAGGTCGTTGAACCAACGTATCCATGCACTGTGTATACGTGTGAAGACCAATAAGTGTCCATTGTTGCTTCCTAGTGAGAATGCTACGAAATATAGACACATCTGTGAATGAAAACGATGCTGACTTCGACTACACTGATCTGACGGCGATAGACTTATACAGAACCGCATACGCACACACCTTTATTTCGGTTGCAGCGCGTGACGATTCGATGGTCCATCTCAAGTGCGCCCCTTTACTATTGTCCATATTGGTTCAGTTGTCAGACTAAATATTCTGCAGAATTGGTCGGTCAACTATTTAAAGCTATAGACACAGATGCACTGTCAGATATTAAGACTCAAAAGCATGGCATTACATACACTTACAGAAACAGCATTGATCATATGAACCTCAAGGTCTTCTGAAGATTGAATATTTCGGATATTCTCAAGAAGTCGTCCCTCGTACGAATACAAATTTTCTTCAGACTTTGAATCTTAATCAAAGACACTTTTATGTCCTGTGGGTAGATAAGGAATACAACTATGATAGTACCAAGAGTCTCAGCCTTTCCGAGCTAGACTAGTTTGCAAATGGTATTGTGATTGTGTTATGTATTGCTTTCTGCAAAAACCGCTCGAATATATATTCTATTCTACTTTTTTCTTCAAAATATCTGATATCATACATGTATGGACTCTAAAAATAGATCTTCTTGTAAAGCAGATAGATCTAATTTCTCAAAAATGCTGTTCAAAGCCAGTATGTGGTTAATGTTTCAGAATAGAGAACTTACGGTAGGTCAAAATGCAGTTGTCCTTTAGATAAGAAAATCAAGGTGCAAGCAATTAGCGTTGTCGTTGTTTTTTTTTCTCCATATGATTCACTCTCGTATCTATCTGTAGCATATCTCTGCCTCTGAATAAGAGAAGGCTGTGAAGAAAATAGACGAGTATATGAAATTTTTCTTCGTCTTGTCATTCTTTTGCAGAGCAAATAGAATCGAACGTTTTTACAGAGATACCAAAGTATACATCTTTGGAATCTCAAATGTACACGGCTTGATATTTTTATTCATCTCAAATAGAATACTTGGTTTTAACACGTTTTGAATGTATGAATAAAAAGAACGAAGAGAAAAAGCTTTCAGTTTATCGATTTCAATTTAAGAAAAAAGTGAAACCAAAACGAAAATAGAAATCAAAATTAGAAAAAAAATTACTTGTTGTTTTCTTGCACTGATCGTTTAAGCGTATACTTTTGTTTAATTGACCGATTTTCTTCAATTCCTATGATATAGTTTTCTCTTTCAAGCTTCTTTATTTATAGTCATCAATTTGTCCTAAAGAAAAAACATGATTCTAAGGCTTCAAGTCTATACAAGTGTACAGTACTATTACTGAGGATGGCACAATAACACGAATATCGTTTTATATGCTCGTCTCTGATGACAATATGATTTTGATTTCATACTATGATTCAAGGACAAATATAGGTGTAATTTTATGATCCAATACAATTATTGAAAACAACAGATGATCACAAAATTAATTATTCGATTCGGCTGATTATACATATATGTAAACGTAGAAATGAAAATAGTTTCTCAGTGTATGAAAACTCCTGGATTTTTAAAACATTGTTAGGACTTCGGTAAGGTTTTCAGATGCAGTATTTAATAATAGAAAATCAGCGCTACACAGAAACACTTGTTGACTTATAAATTTTAAGTGAAAATTTCAAAATTTGTCTTATTACTATGATGAAAAGTAATTTATTCTTCATTAGAATGATTTATAACTGTTTGTAATTTGAATTGCCTATTTGCAACTTGTTAATCATACATCATAATGGAGAAAAAAACATTGAAATTTAAGTTTCATACAGTATGACGCTCACCTTGCTTGAAAAACTTATGATTATTGCCAAGCAATTGATAATGAAGTCATTTTGTTTTTTTTCTCAAACAAAGATGAATCGTTATCTCATTGAAAACTTGGAAGATTCCAAAAAGGCCAGCGTTTTATCATTGTGCACCCCTGAGATATTTCTTATCAGCTTCGACAAGGCAAACTAAAACTAGAATGTATATATATATCAGAAATAGTTGTGACAAAAACATTAAATCAGACAAAAATCAAATCATGCTCTACATTATTGTGCTAGCATGCCTTCTTGGTGCCTCATCAGCATCCTATTTGTTGCCAGTGGCACTCAGCAGTTGTCCAGCAGGCTTCTTCTGTCCAGCAGCAGATCTGACTAGAGGAGTGAACCCACAACCATGCCCTGCGGGTACTTATTCGCATCAGGGGTGGACAGCTTGCAGACCATGTCCAGCTGGTTACTGGACGACAAGATCAGGATCGGCCTATTGTGATATTTGTCCACAAGGACATCGATGTCCAACAACTGAAAAATCACCTGAGGCTTGTCCCTTGGGTACTGCTAATTCAAAACTGGGTCAAACGGCTTGCACCCCATGCTCAGTAGGTTATTATACACCAACACTGGAAAGAATTGCCTGTACACAATGTCCACGTGGGCACTACTGCGACAATTCAGCTGAACAACCTAAACAATGTCCACCCGGTCAGTACGACTATACGATATCAAATTTGCTCAAATCTGCAAGTTAACAATAATAAGAGATATTATTCGATCGGAGTTAAAAATAAGTCATTGAAACTCTTCGAATGAAAAGCAAGAGCTAAAATTCCTGTCTACACTAGAAAACTTGTCATCCATCTTTCTACCTAGTACAAATAACGTTGTCGTACACTAATTTTGTCGTCAACACGAAGGACGAGCATCAAAATTGTTCCTCATAGATTCAAAATTATGTGAAAAGTTTTACTTTTTTGGTGACGTAGAAGTTGTGCTAACTGTCTTACTACGTAGAACACGATGCAAAATTGAAACTTTCAAAATTGCATTTAGAATCTGAAATAAAGCTTTTTTTATTGTTGATCTTCAAATCGAACTTGGCAATTTCTTATTGCAGGTGCTCTTCTCTTTCTTAATTTCAAGCACAAGTCTTTCTCCCCGTATTCTATTTCCAAAGACTCAGAGTAAATATTTTACAAGAGCTTCGAATTTCTATCATCTCTTCATGGAAAATCAAAGATAGGTTTGTTTTCTTTTACATACAGAGTATCTTGTAGCATGGGCTCTTATCAATGTTTCGACATGTTAATTATGCTTTTCAGAAGAAAAATCTGTTAGTACAATCCCTTGCGGAATTAAAAATGTGCAACACGATGGATCTATTGTTATTAGTTAAATGGAAATCGTTTTGTTCCATTTCTTTGCGATACATTTGTAAGCTAACCCTTTATCTAATGCTTTAGAACTGCAGTTTCTCTGTCACGGTCTCTGACGGATACCAAGCCCTGTCTGTCACGGTCTGTGATGGGCTTCGGGCCTGTCTGTCACGGCCTGTGATGGGTCCCGGACCTGTCTGTCACGATCTGTGATAGGTCCCGGGCCTGTCTGTCACCGACTGTGATGGGCTTCGGGCCTGTCTGTCACGGCCTGTGATGGATTCCAGCCCTATCTGTCGCGGTCTGTGATGGCCCCCAAAACCTGTCTGTCACGGTCTGTGACGGTTAATTAGCTAATTAAATATTAATCAATTAATTAATTAAGATGTCTGTCACGGTCTGTGATGCCCCCGAAGCCTGTTTGTCACGGTCTGTGACGGGTCACGTGAGTGTCTGTCACGGTCTTTGGGGGGGAGGGGGGGGGGGGGCAAATCTCTTCCCCAATAAACTATTTCCGCCTACTCAGAGTAATTTTCACAAAACATTCAAAGTTTTCGTATGAATAGCGATTGTGTAATTCTGATTAATCGGATGAACGAAACTTCTGGAATGCCAATCGTACTACTAAGTAATGAAGTAGTAACAGTACCTTGACTATGGTAAGAGCTTGGAACTCACTTGAGTATATTCCCTTGAAAAACGACCAAATTGAAAAGCATTTTCTAAAGCAATCTAGTTTACGTTAAGATTATTCATGTAACACAATTCTATGAAACATTATTACAGGCACATGGAGTGGACTCGGTCAAACCGAATGTATAGAGTGTTCACCAGGCTCCTATACTACTCGCAATGGATCGACCTACTGTGACAGTTGTCCACCCGGACATTATTGTCCTGTTGCCCAAGATGAGCCTCTTCCTTGCCCGTTGGGTATGGCCACACGTCTTTCAAATCAAACTGTCTGTTTATCATGCGAGACTGGGCAATTCAGCGATCGATTGGGAGCAACTGCATGCGCCACCTGTCCAGCAGGTAGTTTCTGTGGCGATCCAGCACTGAGTCCCCAACCCTGCTTACCAGGTACATTTAGTGGAGAGGGACAAGCTCAGTGTACAGCTTGTCCGAGTGGTTACCAAACAGTGCAAACAGGTTCAACGTATTGTTTTATTTGTGGTCCAGGTAAGTCGATAAAGTACTTATTATTCTCAATCAAATCTTATACACGTGCGCTACGTAAAAAGTATAATAGTGGAAAATGTTTGCAAATACTCTGTCTATTTTTCGAAGTATTGCCATGGGAGAACAAATTGAAGCTTTTTTCACATGTATGAATCAAAGGGAAAATGATTTTTTTCTTGTGTTATTCGCTTCCAATCCAGTTATAAATAAATAGAGACTCTCGACATAATCAGCACTATACTTTCACCAGATTCTTCTTAAGAAAAATACGTAGGACACGAAAAAACGGCCGTAAGTTGTAAAAATAGTTACAGTTTTTCCAGGAACAAATGGCAAATTCCTGCATTTTCCAGGATTTTCATTTTTATAAAAATCAAGTACATCTTATAAAACCTCAGAAAACTACAAACGAGTTTTGGTAAGATCCAGAGAGAGCAATGTGTCATTAAAAAAATCATAGAAAATTCGACAAAAATCTAATGTAAGACTCAGAAAACACGAAAAGTTTCGAAAAATCATATGAAATATTGTAAAAGTGCAAGGCGCTCGACAAAGTTCTGAAAAAAAAACTGTGAAAATCTAGGATTGAGTTCCAATTTACAAACCATAAAAATTCTCTATCTCCACCTTACAAAACGCACTTCGCCATCAACATTTCACGCTCAATCGTTCTGAGCTAGACATCAATAAGATTTCTTTTTATGAGAAATGTAAGACTCAACTGAAATTCGACAAGTTTGAGGCTTCTCTTGTGATTGTATGATCATGTTAGCTTTTTCTGCCTATCATTATCTAAGATTCACTTGATAGGCGGCTTTTGCCAGTAGACAATATTTGACATGAAGTCGAATTCTTCATAAACGCAGTGAAAAACTCGAATATGACGATAGGAAAAAGTTTTCAAAATGTTCAATGTCATATTATTGAATATCTTAAAGTTACATTGAAGACAATAGGTTGTGTAGTAATATCTGACAAAGAACTTGAATTCAAATGAGACAGTTACAGTAATCGTACAATAATGATCATGCCTTAAGGTTTTGACTAGTTCATTTTTCATTCACTAATCACACAAGTAGAAGAATGTATTGTTTTAAGGAATAAAACTATATTATCATTTCATTTTTTAGGTCGTTACTGTCCAAATCCAGCCGGCCCGCCTATTCAATGTGAGCCCGGCTCAGCACAAGTTAATTTGGGACAAGTTCAATGTGACGTGTGCGAAAATGGTGCCTATGCTGATCAACCCGGTATGGCCGTATGTATTTCATGTCCACCTGGATATGTTTGCGATAGTAAAACTCGTGCCGGTCTCCCATGTCCAAGCAATCAACTTAGCGGTCAGAGCAAGTGTATGGGCAATAGCGAATCAATGATTGGATAAAAATTGTTCATCACAAACGAGGCTCACTTCGATAATACTTTTTCATGCATTTTAGTTCAAGTAATTTTGATCACTTTCCTGGTTAAACTAATCATTTTGTAGTTGAATCAGACGGAGTTTCGATTTTTATTATATATGAACAGAAGAATATGTGTTTCTACTATTTTAAATGAAATTCAATATTTTTCAATAAGTAAATGCGTAGCTTGACTGCATTTGTGAACAAGCATGTACACAAATTTTCTCGATTTTTTCTTAAAAGAAAAGGTGAATTGTGCCACATATAGAATCTGGCGAGAGCCGTATAGTCTATGGGAACTTACTAGAGTATGAAATTAGATAGACGAAAGAAGAAATATTTATTTCTTATGGTTCCAAGACAGATAGATATCTTGTTTAGCTCAATGGTAAACCAAGAGCTTCATCTGTCAAGTTAAGAATTAATGAGTGTCAATCAGTTAAAAATTTCGATATACTTATTCCATTTGCAGAGGGTCAATATGAAGCGATTTCAATGTTTAGACGATACCTTTTACAAAGAAACAAAACGCCAAATGTTGGTTTCCACTTTGATAATGTTTCCATAATCACGTAGGGAAATAGAATATTAGGAATACAGCTCATATAGAAAAAAAAATCAGGTCTTTGAACACTACTGCAAAGCTCGGAAATCCTAATCATTGTACGATTATCACAATAATATATGGCAGATGAAAGATATAGATAAATGCTATAGAAATTAATTCAATGATCATTTTTCGATACTAGAGCTATCTACTGTTGATATGCACGCGAGTTTCTTGAATAAAGATGCAACTTGATAGAGCACTGCTGAATATGATCATAAGAAAAATCAGTATGAAATAATGAGCAATCGATTCATCTAGAATTAGCCATGTTCGAATCATATTATACGATATGTAAGTGTGGATGTAGGTGTCAATGTTCTCTCACATACGCCTACACCCAAAAAGAACTTACTTTCATTATCAAAAAATACTCGGAAAAAAGCGTTTTTTTTATTTATTTTTCTTACATCATTTAAAAATTAGCTTATTTCATTCATGTCGGTGTGTGTGTGAGTCTGAATCTTTTGTTTACTCTCACCAGGTCTCTAACCCATAGACTCACTCTCAATTTCGATGCTCCTTCAGAAGACTTCAAGACTAATATGCCATGTGACTAGTGTCATCCAACGAGTCAGCTACTTGATACCCGACTCGGCCCAGAACATGTCTCAAGGTACGAACTCTCCGGATCGGTTCTGGTCTCGGGTATCATTGCATATTCAAATTCAACTCAGCATTTAATGAGATCTCGTCGTTTCAAAATATGTTATACTTTTTCAAACTGTTAATTTATGTAAAAGCATAGGAATGAAAACCGGTTCAATCATCATCACACAATTTATTGTACTGGAGAACAGACTATGGAATTGGAAGGCAATATTGTTTTAATAAAATAACTCATCTTTAATATAAATTCATCTGCAGATTATGAGAAACTATATAAGGAAGTAATTGAGTACATACAAAGAAAAATGAACAATCAAAAATGTGAACATATTATCGTGATGAAAAGAGCATTCTTGTATGTATTCACAGTTATAACGTTCGACACTAATGCTATGTTCCAATCTAGTGTCATCAGCAATAGGCAACTCTATACTTAGCGAAATTAATCGAATTTTAGAAGGTGAAAGACATTACATGAATCCTGAATCACTTGCTTTTTTGTTAGAATTTGAGATAATGTGGTTTTTTTCTGCTATCTATAGAAGAATCTACATAGTATACTGATATACATATAAATTTGAAACTTTGAAAACCGTGCTGCGACTGAAAAAATCTGCTGAATATTGATTAGATTCGGTCGGATATCGATTTAGACTAATTGTCTTGCGACGAATTGTCGTAGCACCAAGTCTCCCATCTTGATATATATTTACCGATACAATGTTGGACTGCATATGGCAACTATCATAAATACTTTTCATGCAAAATTCCTTTCGTGACTGTTAACATTTCTATTTAACGAACATAAAACATATATGATATCTTGGTAATCTGTCATATGAAATTTTGATTAACATAAAAATATAAAATAATATTTTCTCAAAGACTGTTTTGTGTCAGATAGATAAAAGTTTTCTTTTTTCATTGAACAACAAATTTATTCAAAAGGCTTTTCAATATCGGAACAAGTCAAAATTTAATATCTTCAAGACATAAAAGGATATTACTTCACACAGTCTAACTTGTATGTATTTCTGTTTAAAAAGACAAAAAAAATTCAAACACTGACACAAAAAAAAAACAAATATCTTATTTTAGTCCAGCTGTTCTGCCAAGAATAAGACTAGTTGATAATGGTGACATACGTTCAATAACTTGTCGAATAGCACTAACATCTTGATGAAGACGATTAACAGCTAATTGGAGATCAGTTACACGTTCACCTAAATCCTGTGAGTAAGCTTGAATATGAGATTCAGTATGTACTGGTAAGGGAACATGTTTATCTACATGAAACTGTTGACGAGGTGATATATGTACCGTTGATTGACGAGCTGGAATACTACTACTACCAGAACCAGCAGACACTCGATCAGTTTGTCCAGCAAGTTTTTCTTCGATTAATTCTCTTAATCGAGTTATTTCTTCGAATAGTAATGTTTGATTATTAGGTGTTAAAGACATTAATTCTTGTTGAGCTATAATAGATTGTTCTGCATTAGTTACATGAATTGATGGTCGTCTTGATGGAACTGGTGTATTTGTTTTTGATTCCTTGACAATTTTTTCTGTTGATAATAATGGTTTAGATGTTGATTGAATTTTATTTAATGTTGTATCAATATTATTTAATTTTTGTAATAATTGTATACGAAATGTATCAAATTGTATATTTTGTTTGTCTATTGTTTGTCGAAAACTTGTCAATGCTTTTGATTGTTGTTCTTCACGTGATTGTCCATAAGCATCAAAATTAATATCTTTCCAATGCAATTGTAATGGTGAACAGTCACGATGAATAAGTTCTTGAATTTGTGAACGTTTACGTTTTGATAAACGCCATTCATAATTTAAAATAACTTCAATACGTTCAAGAAGAAAGCGTGCTTCAACAGTTGAAAATGCTTCAGTTTGTAAAGCATTTGATATGAGACCAATAAATATATTAACAGCTAATATTGCCGTAAATAATAAATATGTAGTACAAACAAATGAAGCAAAATAACGATCAATAGCTGTAAATGCATCAATGGGAACTAAAATGAAAGAACGAAAAAAAACAGCAGGATTGATATATTTCTTTTGAGGCATGAAAATCTTACTATCATCAACTAATGCAATGCGAAAAATTGAAAATAATAATGAAGAAAATGTGTCAAAACCATTTGGTTGAACTAAACGACATGTGGATGTAGCATTAAGACATTTAGTTTCATCAAAATCACTCAATGAACTATTAAATATAAATTGACCACGACTTCTATCTGAATCGCTAGATCCATCATAAGGAATTTGTAATTCATATATTGAACAATGAAGCAATGCATGTTCACAGATTTCAGGAGATTTTTCATAATCATTATGCATTACTTGTGGACCACCAAAAACAGCATAAAAAACAAATGCATATGGTGCAAGAAGAAAAATAAATACCATTAGAAAACGTATTATATCATCGAACATCAAACGAACCTAGAAGCATGAAAATATGAATTAATTTTATTATTAGTAAAAATATATTCAAAGTTTTTATTCATATCCGTAACTTATAATGATAAATTTTGACAGTACAGCCCCTTTGGAACTCATATATGTACTTTAGTTTCGTTATACTAATACAATAGCTGTTAGCATAATCCCTACGAAATTAAAATATGATAAACGATACAGCTGTTGTGACTAATCATAGGAAAATTACTTTGTTTTATCTATTTTGGACTACACTTCTTCAACATACTCTTATTAACCGTCCAGAAACTTAACGAGGAAGTAATTCATATATGACTTTTGATCGTATACAAACAACGTCTGTCATATCTGTGATGAGTCGCGTCTGTTCTCTCAGCTGTGGTCTGTAGGAGCGAGTGCAAATTCTTATTAGATGACCTTTCATAATATACGTCAAATGGGAAAGTTCTAGCTAACTATAGTTGTTTTTCACGAATAATAGGTCGCCAAGAAAAAATCTGTCTTATTTATTTCTGCATTTCTAACAGAAATTTTTTCTATTGTTTCCTTTGCTGTTATATTACTTGATGTTTTCGTGTTTTGTTTTTTCTTGCTTTAATATTATTATTATTATTATTCTAACCATTGATTAAATTGACAAACAAGCCTATTTTACATATCAATTATATCTACAGCAGTTCTCAGCAAAGTATCATACATCTTGATAGGCTCAGGAGTACTGTTATTGAATATTTTCCAAAGTTATAACTTAATCATTTCATGTTTTTTATCTTGATCATATGACGACCATAGCAAATCAATGTATCATTATGTATTATCCTGGGCATCTTCAATATACATTTTTATTTGCAAAAAGTTCAAAAACTATTCTATTTAGAACATTCACAGACCTATTCCAGTCATTCAAATTTCGAGGAGGGTTTTGGCAATTTTTAGGAAAGTCTAATGAAGAACGTTTTAAACTGATCAATTTCTTGTGAATTCAGACTCTATAAATAAGGTAGACTACATCCAGCTACAAAAAAAACTTCAAGAGAATATTTGCTTCCGGAAAGGTATGATGGAAAAAGGCAGAAAGGAAAAATATCGAAAGGGAAAAATATCGAAAATAAAAATATCGAAAACAAAAATAATAGAAATGTAGATGAATGTAAATGATGAAAACAAGAGTATATTGAAGTACCAATCTCCCTCACCCTCATCTTCAACTTTACTGGTTCATCTTCATGTCATACTTTTGTTTTCGATATTTTTACTTTCGATATTTTTCCCTTTCGACATTTTTCATTTCTGCCT